TTGAAGTCTTTAAGTCTAGGGTTACCATGTGTCCTCTTTTTCCCGGACATGTTCGGCTTTTTGGCAATTCCCCCCGGACGGGGTTTGACTGCCGAAAAGCCGGACATGTCCGGGAAAAAGAGGACACATGGTAACCCTAGACTTAAAGACTTCAAGGTGCAGAGAATCCTCCAGCAAGTGACCCGTGCCCCATACTGCAGAGGAAGGGGAAAAACCCCCAGGGCCTCTGCCAATCTGCCCTGGAGGAAAATTCCTTCCCGATCCCAAATATGGCGATCAGTTAAACCCTGAGCATGTGGGCAAGACTCACCCGCCAGGCACCCAGGAAAGAATTCTCTGTAGTGACTCAGATCCCACCTCATCTCACATCCCATCACAGACCATTGGGCATATTTACCGCTAATAGTCAAAGATCAATTAATTGCCCAAATTAGGCTATCCCATCATACCATCCCCTCCATAAACTTATCAAGCTTAGTCTTGAAGCCAGATATGTCTTTTGCCCCCACTCCCTAAACCGATCCAGTAACCTCCCCTGGGTGTCGTGACCTCCAGGTTGAGAAACACTGAGCTAGATGATTTGAGTACCCCCTGGAAGACCTCTGTGTATTCCCAGGGGTATGTGCACCCCTGGCTGAGAACCACTGGATTAGAGTTCCAGGGCCTGAGTCAACCCTATCTGCTGATGAGTTTGGAAAGGGTGGGGGGTTGTTTGAAAGCCTGACAAAAACACCATATCACCCGTGGGTGAACACTGTTCACCAAGCAATCACTCTATATCTGACCTCTCAGTCCTCATCCTCAAAGGAAACCTGCACAACGCTTTCAAAAAATGAACCTGGCAGCTTAAATTCATAACTTTGCTAGACACTAAAAATCATGGACTGAATAGAGACACTGGATTTATGGCTTATTACAACAATCTGTAATCCCCAACCCGCCTCCCCACCAAGCTTTCCCCTGCCAATGACTGGAGGGGTGCTAACAGGCTACTTCACCTTTGAAATATGTGTTATTTACTTATGCTGAACATTCAGGAAAAAAGTCCATTTGGAGTCCCCGTTTCCCCAAAATATTCCCCCCAAGCCCATTCACCCCCTTTCCTGGGGAGTCTTGAAAATAATATACTAACCAGTTGGTTACAATGTGAGACCTTGGTTTTTAGGACACTGAAAATCAATCAGGTTCTTAAAAGAAGAATTTTATTTTAAAAAAAGTCAAAGAATCACACCTGCAAAATCAGGATGGAAGGTAACTTTACAGGGTAAATAAAAAGAGTTAAAACACAGAGGATTCCCCACTGACTCTGCTTCCCAGTTACAAAACAGGAATGAAATGACCTCTTAGCACAGGGAAAATTCACAAGCTAAAACAAAAGATAACCTAACGCATTTCCTTGCCTTACTTACAATTTTTGTAACCTTAGATGCTTATTTCAGGTGTGTTTCCAGGAGATGTTTTTTTCCTGCCTGAACCCTCCCTCCGTCCAGAGAGGGAACAAACAAAACCTCCCCCACCCAGATTTGAAAGTATCTTCTTTCCCCATTGGTCCTTCTGGTCAGGTGCCAACTAGGTTAATTGAACTGATTAACCCCCTTACAGGTAAAGCGATTCAGTACAGCTGCTCTGTGTATATTTATGACACTGTGTCCGCTGGGCTGAGCCGTCAGCATGGCCGGGGATTATACTGAGGTTTCATGGATTTGGAAGTAGTAGTGGTCGAGCAGCGTCTTATGTTTTGAATTCCAGGGGTCCTTTTTTGTAAAAAGTTCAAGACATTATTAATCATGCAGAAGGTTTAAGTTGTGAAACATGTACCCATTTTAACTTTTTATTCTTTTCAATACGGTATCCCAATGGGCTGAGGCGGCCCACTATGGAAGAAGATTCCGTCCATTTTGATTTCAGGGAGTGGTGCCTTTTTTTTAATTAAGGTACATAACTTGATCCCCTGTTTTCCATAGGGCCACTTTGATATGCTTTTGTGCTTGAATTTTTTTATTTATTTGTTTAATAGCTTGATTGACCCTGTATTGAAGAGTGGTTTTATCTTCTCGCAGCTGCTTAAGTCACTGCAAATGTTTATGCTGTGTTACATTCGGGGTCTTTCCCCCGATCTTGTGTTAGGTGGACAGGGTCAATCATAAGATGCATGGAGTGTCCAAAAATAATTTGGAAGGGCTGAATTTTGGTTTGTAATTTGTTGCTGCTGCGGATAGCTGCTAAAATTAGAGGCAGCTTGTCTGGCCAATTTTTTTCGGTGTGGTTTACTACCTTCCGCCGTGCTGCCTTAATGGTGCGGTTCGTGCGTTCTACCTGACCTGAGGAGTGGGGTCGGTATGAGATATGAAACTTTTGTTTGATTCCTAAGGCTTGCAAGAGCAATGTGAAAAAAATTTTCACAAAGGCCCCCCCCCCGTTATCAGAATCTATTATTTCAGGGGTACCATATTTACACACCATCTTATTAAAAACTCCTTGGCCACCACCTTGGTGCTGTTGGTTTTAGTAGGAAATGCCTTTACCCAGCCTGAAAAAGAATCGATTACCACCAACGGGTATTGAAATTCTTTTTTACTTTTAGGCAACTTGTCAATGAAATGAATCTGGACTCTATGCCAGGGCCCGTGCCTTCGTTGGTGCATCATGGGTTGCCAATGAAGGGGTTGTGCACACCGCCTGCAATTCCTGACCCATGTTTTAACATTATCCTCCATGGTTTTCTATTTTGCAACTTGTTTTACCTTATTTAAGGTTTCCTTTACTTTTTCATGCATGAACTGATGGGCTACATTAATTAGTTCTTGCCTCTCTGCCTTTCCTGGAGTTTGGTGATTTACAGCATCATCCGTTGGTTCAGGGGCCTCGGTAAGGACGCCTTTAGCTTGGCTTCTAGTTACAATTGCTATACTGTGTTGCCAGGCTATGTTATTAATAATAATAATTTGAGATATATCTATCTCATAGAGCTGGAAGGGACCTTGAAAGGTCATTGAGTCCAGCCCCCTGCCTTCACTAGCAGGACCAAGTACTGATTTTTGCCCCAGATCCCTAAGTGGCCCCCACAAGGATTGGGCTCACAACCCTGGATTTAGCAGGCCAATGCTCAAACCACTGAGCTATCCCTCCACCCCAACATATAACCCTCTGGTCTCCTGGGGTGTTTCATAGAATATCAGGGTTGGAAGGGACCTCAGCTAGTCCAACCCTCTGCTCAAAGCAGGACCAATCCCCAACTAAATCCCCAAATGGCCCCCTCAAGGATTGAACTCACAACCCTGGGTTTAGCAGGCCAATACTCAAACCACTGAGCTATCCCTCCCCCTGTTCCAAATGGCTTCCTCACTTGTTTCCTTGTTATGGGCTTTTACATGTTTGATTTTCAATTGGTTAGGATTTTCTGTTACCCACTGATAACTCCACTTTTATTTATTTAGATATGCAATATCTTTACCATCCGCCGCCCTCCACTTATTTTTTTTTCAAGTCCTGCATTCAGAACTGAATTCCCTTTACGCAAAAGTCAGCATAAATATACACTGGTCGTAGGGAATGCTCACATCATTTCAGAACCTGATAAATTGCATGTAATGCAGCATGTCGGCTGACCCATGGTCCAGCTGGCCCTGAATAACGTTTTTATTTAAATTGAGAGCTGCGTATTTTACACACTTTTTTCCATGTATTACCATCGGACTTTCATCAGTGAACCAAATATGCTTCCCTTGCCCTACTGTATTCAATTTCTCCAGTGGAGGTGCTTGTACTAAAGCAATTCTTTGCCCCAGAGTGATCTCTGGCCAGTCGTGTCGGTTTTCTTTTTTAATTAAAGCGTGTGTTAGCATGTCTGGTTTAGACACTGTTTCTGTGGTTACCCCACTGTTAAGTAAAATTAGAGTCCATTGTGCCATTCGGGTATTAGAGACTTTCCCTCCCATCAGCTTTCCTGACAAAATGTATTTTAGTGG